AACAGACATATTATTTTCTGCCTGTATGAAGATAAATCAGTCTCAAATGTAAGATAATTAACAATTTTTGTTTCCGTACAACAAGGTCCACAAATGCATGAACACTTCTTGCACTTTGATCAAAGCACTTTGATAACAGTTTATCTGTTTTAAATTGTGCTCTACAAATAAATAAAGATGACTTCTTCAAATGTTTTCTTCTTTTTTCTTGTAAAAAAAACCTACAAGTAAAATATATTTTCCGGTATTATAGATTCATTTTTGCATGGAAGCGTATGTGTTTTAATATAGAGGTTAAAAGTTTCTGTGACGAGGTAGAAATGAGTCTTTTTCTCAAGGACTCAGTAAATCTGGTGATGCTCAGATGTCCCAGATTTTCAGTAGCCTTCGTGTGTATTCCTTTAAAGGATGCACGTCACTAAATGTGAAGATTTTAACTTTTTTTTTCTTGATTATTTATGTTTAAGATAAGTTCTCAACCTTGTGTCAATGGTCCTATCGGGAACAATAAAAAACAATTATTTTATTTCTTTATTACGTAACCAACAGTGTTTGGGTTACTGGACTTTAAACCAGGGTCCATGTTACAATCCTCTTCTTCCGTCCAGAATCGACTCCTCGCTCTGCTGCAAATAAAAAGACAGATGGATCAGAAACAAACCCCAGCTTGGATTGAAGGGTCTCACCTGGTGCCGTTACCTGAGCCATGACCTCACCTCGTCACTGTCACCACCCCACATAAAAAGCGTTAATGTTTATTACCTTGTAAGCGTCAGATCCATCTGGCTTTTGTAACGCCGGACAGGTACGCTCTCGCTGGGCAACGCAACGCTAAATCTCTGTCTCGCAAAAGCCGATTTCAGTGGTGCAGAAGGTGTCCTGTTCTCAACAAAGTTTTCATAAACACGTGGTGCGTTCAGAGTCGAGATTGGGCTTGGGAACTGGTACATGATCGAGATGGCCCCTTTGATCTTGTCCCAGATGCTGAAGGGCAAGTTGTTCAGGTGTTTGTCCACCTCCATCAGTGGCTCAGGGGTGGGGTCCGTTAAACTCGACAGAACACGTTGTATGCTCGTCGCTAAGTTAGGATAATTCTGAAGGAAGGGGATGTCTTCAGCTCTCAGCTCCCTCTCGGTGGAGCTGATTATGTCTGTGAGAGATGTTGCTTCTCTTTTCATGGCCTCACGCTTCATCCTTAAACTCTGGTTCTTCTGCTGCTTCTCCTTGCTCAGGGCAGCGAGTCGAAACTCCTCCTCCTTTTTGATGAACGACTGAATCGTGGAGAACACGTCTTTAATCTGCCTCTCCGTGTCATGACACTGGATTTCAATGTTCTGTAATGCCTGGTTAAAATTGTCTCCAGCAACAGTTAAGAGGTCCTTCTTCTCATGAACGGGTCTCAGGAGCTCCTGAAGCGTCGCTCTGTGTTCCGCGGCAGCTTCTTCTAGGGGCCTGAAGCTGTGGTTGGTGTGGCATCTTGAATACCGACAGATGGGACACACCATCTGCTGATCTTCTAGACAGAAGAGCTTGAATTTCTCACCGTGGAGGCTGCAGAGCCCTGAAGGAGCTGCTGAATGTCGCTCGCTGCTGTCTTTTGAGAAGGCCTCACACACGTGTCTTAAAGCCAGGTTCTGAGGTGGGTCATATGGGGGACAGATCCTCCTGCAGACCGGACATTCAGGAGTCTGCCTCTGTGTTTTCCATTGTTGCCAACAGGCTCCACATAAACTGTGGCTGCAGAACAAGATGACTGGATCCTGGTAGATGTCATGGCAGATGGGACAGGAGATGTTGTTTTCAGGCCAAGAAGACATTTGACTCTTTACCAAGGCAGCTGAAGTTCTCAAACGGTCTTCTGAGTGAAGCGAGGCAGAGTTGTGGTTCTCCCAATGACTTCCTGCTCGTCTCTGCAGCTGTCCTCTCCAAGGTTCTGGTGCTCCGGCTACTCTTTTATACGGCGTTAAACTTTATTTCCTGCTCTGTCTTGGTCATTTCTGGTAAGCAGGAGTTGCTGAGCTGTAAATCATGAACAGGAGTGTTTATGTACCATTTAACCACCTGACAGCTTATCTGAAGGAATGATGGATCGATACATTTACGTGTTTGCATAATAAAGTTGCCTCTTATCATCTAAACCATCCAATGAGGTTTCACTGGCTCTGTGATAAGCTGCAGTTATCCTTCTGTGTTGATAACCTTCCTGCTGACTTGACTTTTTAACTTTGCTGTCAGCCAGTTTCGTTTCGAGAGACTGAAGTGAACCCTTGACCAAGTAGTCCAGAGTTTAGTTCTGTGCCGTGGTCGGTCATGTCTCTTAACAGCTGCTTTCGACACAGTTGACCATGACATTCTCATCTCCAGACTGGAGCAGTGGGTGGGCATCACTGGCTCAGCTCTGCAGTGGTTTAGATCCTACCTTTCTGATAGAAGTTTCAGTGTGATGATGGATAATTTTACCTTTGCTTCTGCTGCCCTCCCCTGGGGGGTACCCCAGGGCTCTATTCTTGGTCCTCTCTTGTTTTCTTTTTACCTTCTGCCTCTGGGCTCTATTTTCAGAAAGCATGGTGGGCAGTTTCATTTATATGCAGATGACTGTCAAGTCTACTTCCCTTTGAAACAAAATGGCTCCACTCAGTCTCTCCTGGACTGTCTTGATGACATTAGAGGATGGATGGCACTTAATTTCCTCCATTTTAATGAAAAAAAGACTGAGGTTATGGTCTTTAAATCCTGTGGCCCTAGCAGTTTCTCCACCTTGGATTTTTCCTCTTTGGCCCCATAGGAAAAATCAATTTTGACAAATTTAGGAGTGAAAATGGACCCCTGCCTGAAACTTGACTGCCATGTCAACAATGTGGTTAAGTCCTCTTTCTTTCAGCTGAGGTGCCTGGCAAAAATCAAGCCCCTCCTTTCTAGGCACCACTTAGAGACCGTAATCCACACTTTTATTACTTCACGCCTGGATTATTGTAACTCTCTGTTGATAGGAGTTAGCTAGGCCTCGCTCTCACATTTACAGCTGGTACAAAATGCTGCTGCACGATTTTTGACTGGTACAGGCGTGAGCACATCACTCCAGTTCAGATGTCCCTTCACTGGCTTCCTGTCCAGTTTCGAATCCATTTTAAAGTTTTATTGTTTGTTTTTACGTCTTTAAACGGTCTTAGTCCCTCTTATTTGTCTGAACCGCTTCACTTTTACATACCATCACGTGCTCTTAGATCCTCTGACCAGATGCTTTTAGCAGTCCTGAAAACCTTTTATAAATCCAGAGGAGACGGAGCCTTTTCAGCTCTGGCTCCTAAATTGTGGAATGAGCTGCCGCTGGAGGTCGGGCAGGCCCCGTCACTTTCTGTTTTTAAAACTCGTTTAAAAACACGTTTTTTTTCCATTGGCTTTTAACCTAGAGTGAGTCAGCATCTGTGTCTTAATGTTGTATTCTTTTACTTATGATGCTCTGATTTTATATATATATATATATATATATGTATGTGTGTTTTTATTGTTCTTCTGCTTTTTGTTTGTTTTTAATTTTGTACAGCACTTCGGACGGCTGCTTGTTGTATTTCAAGTGCTTTAGAAATAAATTGGTATGTCTCACCTCAAACGCAGAGGCTAAAGATGTGGGATTAACGTGTTTTATAACTTTTACAATGTAAAGACTGAATCTAACCATGAATTTAGGACCCTGTTCACCCTGCAGGACGACCCTGCCAGAGCCGGGCCAGAGTTCACCTTTTTGTTCCGTGACAGAGTTCGATGGTGCGTTCACACCTCCCTAAACGAGCCGGACATTCAAGGAAAACGAGCTAGTTAGATTAAAGCGGACTAAACAGGGCTAGTGTGAATGCACCCTAAAACCCTGCTTCGGCCTGCATTCTGCATTATTCAAACACGGACCCTGCTCTGACATGCCAGATATTTTGTGATCTCACCTGTTTGGGTCGTTGGCCGCGCATGTCCACTGAGTGCAGCGGCTGCATGAACGTCCATTTGGGCTGGCAGTAGTCCATCTGAAGTTTATCTGAACTTTTTGCCTCTTTCAAGGCCGGAAAGCACGCAGTGAAAAGGCTGCATTTGCAGGTGATAGTATGGCAAGCCATGTTGCCATATAATTGGATCGTCAACCGCGCGTGTCCGCTGACACAATCAAAAGCCCGACACCGACCCGCCCACACATTAAGTACATTATTATGGCCCAGCTCGGTCCTAATCAGGGTCAGACGGGGCCGGGCTCCGGGTTCGGGTTAGAAATGACAGCTCTACTCTGCTTGGGTTCAAACCTGGTTGGATCTTTGATCATCCTTTTCTTTTTCTTTCATGTTTCTCTTTAGATCCTGATTTGTTTTTGTTGACGTCTCCATGTCTTTTCTTCTCGTCTCTCTTCAGTTTTCTCCACTGAGACCCTCATCCTGAACCTCTCTCTCATAATGAGCATCGCAGCTCTCTCACCCCTGAGTCCGGAGCCCCCCTCCCCCATGCTGACGTCGGTGACTCCGGTCACTCCGACCCTGGACCCTAGAGCTGTTGATGCTCCTCTGACCCTGGATCAGTCTCAGGATGGAGCTTCCTGTCCAGGTCCTGGTCCCAGCCGAGGCTGCCTCACCGGAGGAGGAGCTCACCTGGACTTCTCTCGGAGGTATTTGAACTCATCATACCCTCACTTCATACGCAGAGGTTATCCTGCTCCACTTTGTCCACACTGGTTGTAATTGTATCCAACTGGGACAAAATAGTTACCATTTAGCACCCGGTGCACGTACCCCTGTGTGCTGAGGCCCAACTTCTGACCTGTTGGCACTGTTTCTATGAGCTGCAACATTTTTGTTGAAGCAGTTCTCTGGTACATGAACTAAAATAAACAGGTATTTGCCCTTAAAGTCCTTTTTCAAGTCAAACATAAACATTAAAAATCATGAAATCAGGACTTCTGTAGACCTTAGATGATGTACATCAGAAACAAACTTCTTGTTGTCTTTTTGGATTTAAAGCGTTTGTTTTCATTCTGTCATGATCAGCGTCAGATGGAGCCCCACAGCTCTGAGGTTCTGAACAGGTCCAGGTGAATCTGTGGACAGGTTCTGTCCTTACACGATGCATGTGTTTTGGTTTCAGGATGCAGAAACCCCCTCCTCTAAACACCGGAGCGGACTGGAAGGTGGTCCTTCATTTACCAGAGATCGAGACCTGGCTGAGGGCGACCAGCGACCGGGTCTCACAGCTCGCTCACTCCGTGGGACAGGACGCCGACAACAGACACGTGGACGTCCACCTGGTACAGCTCAAGGTACAGCTCACTGAGCTCAGCTGCATGGTCTGACCTTCAGGGTGAAACTGCAGTCTTAAAGGTCGTGAATGATCTTTCTCTGTCACATGATGGACTCCAGGTAGTTTGGACCTTGGACCCCGACAGACATTCTGGCTGATTCATTTTGCAGCAAAGTCCTGCATTTGGTCTCCATTTATTCCCTTCAAAATAAAGTTTGACTGGAAACAAACGGTCGGTCCTAAACAGACCAGAGGTGAGGAACTCTGTATTTTAGTCCACCTCGTTCCAGTGAAGCATGAAAAATAAAACAGATTAGATCTAACGCAGAACTTAAAGGATCTTCTATTAATGAGGCTTTTATTTTGACATGGAGTCACATGTTTCCTGTCTTAGACAGCTGCTGCTGTTAGCCAGAAAGGTGTTTTTATGCATACAGGTGCTGGGTTGTCCACAGTCCCTGGTTTGGGTTTATGTGGTCCAGTTCTGAAGACGAACCAGAACACCTCTGCAGGTAATCCCAAACCGAGTCAAAACCTGAACTGTGCAGACACGAGATCTCAGGTGAAGGTAAACGTCACCTGGAGAGACTCACCTGTGAGCAGCCATCTTGATCCAGGCAGAACACTCCCTCTGGGTCAGAATCTGAACCTCAAGCAGGTACCGGGTACCTGGGAGTCCTGTTCCTGACAGGTGGTCTGATGGAGATGGACAGACGGTCTCGTTTGCAGTAATGAGGCTGTTGTTCCCGTTTGTCGTAGTGAAGGAGGTGGTTAGCCCTGGTCTGTCTACATTCCAGCCCTCAGCCCTGGTCCTGAGGTTTGGATCAGGTCTGAAAGAACCAGACCCTGGTCCAAACAACTGCCCGGCTCAGCTTCAGATCAGGAGAGGACCTCCGTCATCCAGGAGGAGCCACTGCTCCTCCTCAATGAAAAGAGTCGGCTGAGAAGGTTCTGACTCTGATCAGGAAGTCTCCTGGGAGGAGACCACGGGATAGACCCAGAACTCTAGTCTGGTCTCTGGTGGGCAGTCAACCCACTCTAACATCAGAGCTCAAATCATAAGTCCAGAACCTGGGCCAAGATCAGGATCTTCAGATCCAGCAGCACGAGTTGGTTTTTATCTGTGCAGACTTGTGTTTGTAGACAAGATGGGTGTTGTTCCATGGCCCGGTTCTGGGAGGAGACGGGTCAGGACCACAATCCAGCTTTGTTGGGAGGTGACTGATGTCATGCTGTGTGTGTGTGTGTTTTAGGTTTAGTGATGAATGCATTCGGGCGTTGAGTCTTCTTGTAAACATGTTTATTTTTGTGATGCGTTTCCTTCAGAACACAACGTTTATTATTATTTAATATTTTAAACTTTATTGAACCATGACTGAGTTCTCAGATCTCTGCCTGGAGCCTAACCTGCAGGTCTTGAGGTTCTGGGTGTGGGAAACCAGAGTACCGGAGAAAACCCGCTCAAACACGAGGAGAACACGTAAACTCCACACAGACAGACCCAGGTCCAAACCAGGGACTGAACCCAGAACCTTCTTGTTTGGACTTTGCTTTTTGAACATCAGAGGTGGTTCTGTCCTTTCAGAGCGAGCAGAACCAGACAGGTCGGGTTCTGTTTCTCCAGCTTTTAACTTTAGTTTATACAAGACTATCCTCCATAAATAACGGTTGAATGAATATGAAAATTAAATCACAACTGTAACGAAATAAGATTAAATGACATTTGTGATTATTTATTTCCAATTTTCTGGGTTCTGTTTAATCCTAAATAATATTTCCCAACATAAAATTTAACAAAATAAAGTGCAAAAAGTAAGTTTCAGAATATTTTGATTAATCAGACCGGAAGTAGCTTGCTCTCTGACTGACGGCTCCCTCTGGTGGTCAATGTTGGTATTACAGCCTCTGTTTGCGCTTTAAACTCTTTACATTAAAAAATAAGTTTAGGGTTTTATTTAAGGTATTCGTTAAACAAAATGTTGGCAGAAAAAAAAAATCAAGATTATACTTAATATGTGTTTCATGTTTCCAGTTTGAATTTTGTGCTTTTCTCAACAAATTTAAATAAAACCAGCTGGACTGCCTGAAGGTATTTAAAGATGTTTCACTTTGTAAAAACGTTTTTCAGACTCAAAGATTGTTTTAGCCGTCATTAATTTAGTTTATTATTATTATTACGTTTTAAACTACTAGAATTAAAAAGAAACATTTGAGCAGACTTTCAAACAGATTCAAACATTTATTAAGTTAATTCTCTGAAACTAAAACAACTAAATGCTTGTACTGAACACTGAGCAGGTATTCAAGCAGTAATTAGTTTCATTATGAGGCAGGCAATCATGTAATTGCCTCTGCATGTTGGATTGTTAGTCTGTTAGCAAAATATCTCATGAACCAGTAGACAGACTGTAATGAACATCTGATAGATGCCACTGGATGATCATCGACTGAAGTCACCTGATTCAACATGACTGCCGCAGAGCCAGGCGGTGGGCGATAGGCATTCTTTCATTAAATGGTCATTATTTTTAGTTTAAAGTCCAAATCCAGAAGGGGTTCTGGTCTCATCGCGTGTCTGCTGCAGATCAGGTGTTACTGAGAGCACTTTGGACTGAACTGGGCCAGGCGTTCCCATCCAGAACTGGGCTCCTGCTCCAGACCAGCTCCTGGAACAGGATCGTTTGAAGGTTTTTCTTGACCCCGAGGGCAGAAAATCCTGCGTTTGTTGCTTCTGTGAATAATTGATACCTGTGCTGCTGACAGCCTCACGCTTTATTTGACTTAATGGCGGGCGTGGAGGTTTGTGGAGACGGCTGTTTGAAATCGTGCCTCTGGTGATCCGTCTCCTCCTTCATCATGTCCTCGCTCGTTTCATCCTCTCTCGCTGCCTCGCTGCCTCGCTCGCTCATCGTTATGAAGCTGCTGCCTGCAGGGCGTCTCGCTGCAACCCGACCTTGGCACCGAGAGACTGTAGGACGTGATTATAGTGATGTGTGTTTGTGTGTGTGTGATGGTATGCCGGCCTCGGAGCCATTCTTGGTGTCGTGCTGCAGGCGGCGTCCGACAGCTGCCCTGAGTGGGCGTGGCCACAGCACAGAGATAAATATAAATGTGTGTACATTCATATTTTAGGCTTTTAAAAAACGTTTTATTAAACAATCAGTCCTAAATTTAATCATAAGAAGAGACGGTGGAGTTGTTTTTACAGGTCAAAGTTCTGAAGTTCAGGTCCAGTTCAACCTTCTGGTCAGGAAGTTTTGCTCATAAGCAGCTGAACAAGGTGAGGTCAAAGGTCAAACTTTGCACTTTCACTCCCTCATTGTAAAGGAAACTGGAAGTTGAATCCAGAACAAGCCCAGCCTCCCTGTCAGCTGGCTCCAGTCCAGGTGTTAAGCCCCGCCCCCTTCACCTCAGGTCCTGTTTCAGGTGTAGAACATTCGTTTAGTTCACCTAAAGAAAGGTCATGTGACCCCAAAGCAAGAAGTTCTGGTACTCTGGATGTGGTCCAGGCTCTCCTGAAACTGGTTCCGGAGATCCAGCAGTGTTCAGTTTGAAACAGTTTTCTAACTGGACTCTCCCACCTGCTTCGAGTCATCTTCACTTGGGTTGGACCTGGTGGTTCTGGTGTTTTCACAACAACAGCTGCTGAATGAGCAGTCAGGGCTGAGTCTACTTCCTGGAGCAACAGAAAATCACAGGTTTGATCTTTTAAGATGCTGTGATAAAATCAGCTGTGACCAAAGTTCACCTACTTATTAAACACGTGAGTTCAGCTGGACCCCCAGAACCAGTGGACCCCCACCCCTTACTGAACCCTCTGTGTTCAGAGAAGTTCCCAGCATTCCTAGCGTAGCTGTGGCTGTGACGTGAGGAAACAGAAATATCCCGACAGCTGCAGGACGGCAGCTTCTGGAGGAAAGATGTTTGTAAACCCTGTTGCCCCCCCTGTCGGTTTCATCACCTTCAGGACCTGGATCACATCCTCCATCAACAGAACCTCTAGACCTTGTTTGTAAAATCTGGTTCCTTTAGTTCTTTAGGAACATTGGAGCTATTAGCTTATGCTATTGGAGGTTTTAGTTTATGCTACTTGGAGATTTTTAGCTTATGCTACTTGGAGATTTTAGCTTATGCTATTTGAAACTTTTAACTTATGCTACTTGGAGCTTTTAGCTTATGCTACTTGGAACTTTTAAACTTATGAAACTTTGAGCTTTTAGCTTATGCTACTTGAAACTTTTAACTTATGCTACTTGGAGATTTTAGCTTATGCTACTTGGATATTTTAGCTTATGCTACTTGAAACTTATAATTTATGCTACTTGGAGA